GATCTGTGGCACAGGAATTTGCCCTTTCCTGCTTCTCTCCTCTGCTCAGGCCATTCTGCAGTCCACGTGAGGGGCTCTCCCCCGCTTTTCTCTGTACTTCACCTTTCTGGGTGGCTCTGTGTTCTGCTGCGAGGCTGTGGGCAGCACAGAGTTGCCCCTTGCTGGGGCTGCAGTGGTTAAAACTTTAAGGCCAGTGAGTAAAGGGAGCCAGACCTCATAGCAGCCTGGAGCTGTAGTCCCTGGCCATCTTTCTTGCCTCCTTCCTTCTCACTGAGGAAGAGGCTGGGCAGGTGTAAAAAGGGTCAGTGTCTCGCTTAGTGTTTGCTACTGAGCCACATCTTGGCACACTTGGTCCCCTGGGTCCTGCTGTGGCTGGATTCATTGGGCCTTTGGTTGCTAGAGGGGATAGCATTGGGGCTATAGACGCTCCCACCACTAAACCATCAGCTGGGATCTTCCATGTAGGGCACCTTCAGATGGGCATTGGTAAGGAGAGGGGCCATGCCACTGGGCAGCTTACTGTGCACCACGTGTGTGACCCAGTCAGACTGTGGGCCCTTTTCTGGTCTTTAAGAAAATACTGATGTTATAAATTTAAGATGTAGGTGCATATATTTATCTCTATAGAAGTGTAGATATAAATAAGAAGAGAAGAGTTATGTGCTAGATAAGAAGGTGAAATAAAACACAACAAAAAACAGTAACAACAAAACTTCAGAGATGGTTCTAGTCTCGTGTCCTAACAAATTGTGTGGCATCAGGTAGTCAGTTAAACTTTCTGGGCCTTGGTGCCCACATCTGAGGGTCGGCACCAGCAGCCCCTAAGTGCTGGCCGTGGGACTGGGGAGGAGGCTGTGCCAGGGCTGGAGGTGGAGGGGGCAGGCTGGGTACTGCTTTGCTCTGTCTGACCAGCAGCATTGCTGGGGCCAGTGTGGACGCCCGTAGGTATAGCACTGGGCTCCAGGGAATTTGTGTCCAGTTAATCAGTGATGACCACTGGCCAGCTGCTCCGCCTGCTGTGTGAGGACTCGTATGATGTCCTAGCTTGTCACCGGGAGAGGATGGGCTTCCAGGTCAGCGGGGAAGTGTCTTTCTTCCATTGAGATCACAGGACTACAGTGAAGTGGTGTTCACGGAGGTGAAGGTTTCCTCACTCCTCGATCTGGACTCTCTTTGAGGTTACGGAGCATTTGAAGGCCACTGTGGTTGGCTGCACAGGGCTCCTGACCAAGGGTTAGTGTGGCTGCTGCACTCGGGGTGCCTGCTTTCACATCTCTCCCAGACGCAGTTCTGGGTGAGGGGCTGCCTCCCAGATCTGCATCCAAGTCCACTCGGCCCCCAGAGAAGGCTGGGTAAGAAGAGGAATCTGGAGTCTGAGAAAGCAAGAGGAGGAGGGGCCTGGAAAAGTCTGTCATTCCTTTCCACTCAAGACGAGAGCAGTGGTTTCAGCCCTGGAGTCTTGTGTACCAGGCTGTCCGATTTCACTGGAAGAGGTATAGAGGGAAGGGGTATGAAGCTGGGCTTGGCCGCTGGCATCGTGGAGTTCTTGGGGAGTTCATGCCCCGGTCCAGTGAACACCTCTGTGTGCCAACTGCAGGTGGGAGGGTCTGGGACAGGGCCTAAGGTCAATTACTGCTTGTATGTGATGCTCCCTTCCCAGTCAGCCAAGCTGTGTATTCATTGTACTAAGAACTGAGCTCTCCAGGGGGTTACATGAGCAATCATCTTATGCTTGAGGGAGCCTCTGGGTAGCTCTGGCCGGAGCCCACGTGGGACTCATTTGAGAAGTGGAGCGTGGTGGCCATGGTTGAAGCAGGTTCTGTCTCTGAGAAGATGGTAGGATGGGGAGCTGCACCTTGGGTGACCTCTGTCTGTCTGGCTTATCTCCGTGACTGTTCTTCTTTTGAACCTGTGGCAAAGGTGAAATCTCTCTAGTCCCACAGAAGAGAGGAGCTGAAAGGAGGCCCACCGAGCCTTCTGTGCCAGCGCCGCACAGTGGTCCTCCGTTTCTCCGTGGAGATGGGGAGTTGGCCACCTTGCTGCCATTTTGATCATCCGTATTATTAGGAGGCTGCCAGCCCATGTTTGCCATTTGCTGCCTGGCCTCCTGCCTGGGGACCAGGACTATTACTCAGCCCCTCTGGCCCAGTGGCTAAAAATAAACCTGCCACTGCTGCAGTCTTCCCCTCACAGCCAGGCCCTGCTATCTGTCCCAGGTCTTTCTTCCTGCTGCACTGCTGAGCCGTTATCTCACTTTTCACCTGCATCCTCCCTCTGTCTATCCATTCGCGCCTTGGAGGCCAGTTAGAGGCCAGTTTGCCATGCTGAGTGCGAGGAAATGAGCTGTGTTTGGTGCTTCTTCTGGCGCCGGGATTCCCATGGACAGAGGCTCGTGGTGCTGCCTTGCTCCTTTCTCAGCAGGGAAAGCGATGGACAGAGGGTGAACAGGTTCTCCAGAGTTGAGTAGCTCTAGCTTTGACATCCTTTAAGCTCTGCCTCCTAGCAGGCCTCCCTGCTGGAGGATGAGTGGGAGAACCTGCATGGGACAGAGTCCCCTCACTCTGACTGCTCTGGAGCGAGCTTCCTCCCTGCTGCGCTCCTGTCCTGAAGCTCAGTGAGCCCCTCCACATCAGTGTTGGGCTTCAGGTTACCACATTCTGAAGTGTGACCTCATCTTGCTGGCTTCCAAGAATAACAACCCCTGCTGTGGGGCCCCCTTCCCTCCCCTGGCCGAGCCCTCCTGTATGCATATAGCTCAGCCACCTGTATGTAGCACGTCATGAACGGCGTGAGTTTCTTCTTCCCTCTGCCTACAGGGACAGAGGTATCGGTGATCTCTGTGCACTGTGTGGCCTCTTCCTCTCCTGTCTGAGCATCCCGGAGACGTGTGGAGTGAGATGAGAAGCACAATATCTGCTTAGCCCAGAGACACAGGGCAGAGTGCTTCCTTCAGTTTCACCTTCAGCATTCTCATCCTTGTGATGGTTCCAGCCCCTGGCAGGTGTTGGGACTCATCACGGCACAGGAGGGTTCTGTGTGTGTTCTGGTATTAAGATTTATTTGGGGGGAAGGGCGTGTGGAGACAGTGATAGGAGCCCAGAGGGAGGAGTTGGGGACCCTGCTGCTGCCTCAGTGGAGGCACAGAACCGAATCGTGTCTCCCCGAGTGTCCTCTCCCTCTGTCCCCAGGGGCCTCATTTCCTGTGCTGGAGGAGATTTATCATTGGCCTCTGGAGGGGAGGAGCTGGGTGTAGTAGCTAAGAGTTTATTTTTAACTCTGACAGAAGGAGCCCCTGTCCTTGGAAGAGTCCTTCCTTCTCCCTTCTTCCCCATCCCAGTGACCTTGCCTGGCTTCTGTCATTCTTAGGGAAGGCTGGGGGGATTCTAAAGAGCAGACTTCACAGGAGCCGTGTCTGCAGATTGCTTGTCGTCCTTGCTTCTGCAGAGCTCAGAGGGTCGGGCGGTGGAGGGGCATGGAGGGGCTGGTGTTCGGAACTCAGAGCATCCCAGGAATGCAGGTGGCTGTGCCACAGCTGTGCTGGAGTGGCCAGCGAGGAGTCCAGAATAGCCTGTGTTCCTGTGTTCTGAGGCCACAGGGAGCAGTGAGCTGTATGATGAGCTGTTTTATTAATGTTCACAGTGCAGAAACTCTGAGCGGTGGTGGTGGCCCTTGACCGCCAGGCCCACAGTGTCATGCCTGTTGGACAGAGCTGTCTCTCATTCTCAGTGACACCGTGCCCTCTGTGTTCTCCCCTGCTCTCCCAAGTCTCACTTCCCCGACTTTATAGACAGTCTGATTACCTTGGCTCAGGTTCTTTGAAGGAAACTAAAACTGGGTTCGAGGTGTAATAGGAGTGGCGGTGAGGGGCTGGGGGAGGTAGAAGGCACAGTGGTGCAGAGCCCTCAGCCGTGCAGTGAACGTCTTGCCCTTCTGCTCCTTAGCATGCACTGGGCTTAGTTTGTTTGCCCAAAGGACAGCTCTGATCATGCAGCTTCCCTGCGTAAGCCCGTCAGTGGTTTGTTTCTTCTGTCTCCTGAATTCACGAGATCTCCAAATCCTCCCCAGATCTGGCTGTAGTCCCTCTGTGTCCCACAGTGGAATTGATTCACGTTGTTTCCTTAGTAGGGCTCCGCTTCCCACCCTACACCTCTGCAGTTCTCCACCTGTCTCTGTTTGGCCCTCCCTGTGTCACCCTGACTCTGTCTGCCTGCTCCTCCAGAAGTGAGTCTTGGGCCTCCGGGGGAGCTCCGTTGTTAGGCGTGTGTGGTCATTCTGCAGCTCAGCTGGACAGGGTCCTGGCAGTGCCTTCCATCCCTCCCATCAAGGTGCCTTGGCATTCTTGTCTGTGATGGCGTTTTAAATGCACTTCTCCATGAGTAAGGTGTTTCTTTAGATAATGGATTTGATATTTGATAGTAACTTACAGGATGACCCTCCTCTTCCTTCTCCTTTTCCTCCTCCTCCTCCTTTTGTGGTCCTCTTATTTCCATGTAATGATTCCATGGCCTCACAAAAACCATCAGGGTCGAGGGCATGGCCGCTCTGCGAGCGTGAGTGCTGGGCCGGGTGCTCTGAGACAGAGCCAGGAGCTCCTGAAGATCCCCCTGCAGCCTGTCCCCATTCTGTCTGCTGGAAGCTGCTCCCAGACCGGCAGCGGTACCGTGTGTCTCTGCGACTGGAGTTTCATTCAGACCTCCAGAGAACGGCAAGCACTGGTGCTTCTCCTCCTTCTCCCTGTCCCAGGGCCCCTCCCTTTCCTGTTCTGTTATGGCGATGACCCCTTTGCCCCTTGGAGAACATTAAGAGAGGGAGGGACAGACGTGGAATGTGCCAACTTTCCTACATTTGCTGGCATTTGCTGGTTGGCTTCAGCCACACAATGGGCACACAGAATCAGGCCAGGGTCATTGAGCAGCTGGCCTTGTGCCTACCTGTGTTGCAAGAGGGACCAGCATTGAGCACTGAGTCTGGGGGACTGCGGCAGAGCCTGGAACCTTCTGGGGACACTTAGCTCCATGCATAGCAGGTTTGTGCAAGAAGGAACGTCTTAGGGGCCTGGCTCTGCACCCTGTAGTGTGGCCTGGACCTTACCATCTGCCTTGTGCATAATCACAAGGAGCGGGGAGACCTTGCCAGACTTCTGCCCCGACCTCTGTGCTCATTACTGTGCTGCAGCCGCTGCTGGGAAGGATGTGGTCAGGCTGCGTCCTCGGCAGCCCCGGGGCAGAGAGCCATCCTCTCAGCCTCTGTGGGCCGCTGCTATTTCACCCTCCTCATGGAAGACAGTATTTTTATTCATCCATCCAGTGTTTATAAACGTTTATTCTCCTCTGTGCTGCCTTCTGTCTTCCCTGCTGACTGGCCATCAGGAGGTCCAGATGGGGGATTAGCCCAGGACGGAAGAGTAGTCAGGGCCTTCTCAGTTTAGACCCCTCAGTGTGTGAGAGGAATGTGGAGGACGAGGGGTGATTGTGGCCGGTGGCTTAACCTGGACCCCTGCCTTTCCAAGCTGGATTTGCCTCAGGGTGCCTTCTAGCCTCTGGAGAGCCAAAGCAACTTGTTACTCAAAATTAATTAGCAGTTCAAAGAGTGACGTTTTGGCTTCCCTGAGGATAGATCAGAGCACCAGCTTTGATACTTTCAGATCACAACTCTGAAGGGTTGGTTCTTGGATCAATCGCTAGTCCTCATTGAGCAGGTACTAAGTACTGTATCAGGCATTCTATTAGATATTTTACCCAATACTCTTTTAATCCTTGAAATAACACTGCAAAGTAAATTCCCCTTCTTACAGAGGAAGAAATGTGTTCAAACATTTCAGAGTAACTCATTAGCAATTAATTACTGAATGCCTCCTAAGCACTACGCATTACGTTACGATCAGTGTATAGGACAGACAAAAGCTGTACTCCTCTGTGCATGGCTCTTGGGGTCCAGCAAGGGAAGACAGCCCGCAGTCAGTTACACAGCTTGTCAGTGGTGGTCGGTACAGAGGAGGAAGTGGAGTGGGAAGGGGAAGGAATGCCAGGAGTGTATGCCAGCCATCAGGGTTGTGGACGGCAGATCAGGGAGGCTTCACCAAAGAGTTGACAGCTGCATGAGCCTGAAGGCACAGGTTTGGGGTGGAGGAAGGGACGCCAGGTGGAAGGAGTGGTAAATGCAAGGTCGGTGGCTGTAGATGGTGAGAGCACTCAATTCTAAAACCAGGTTCTTGGGTTTTGGTACCAGGGTTTGAACTCACAACCTTGTACTTGTGAGGCAGGTCTGGTGCCACGGAGCCATATCCCTGGCCCTAAAACGAGGCTTTTTATAACTCACAGTACTGCCTTTCTGGGAGTTCTTCTGTAGCCCTGTTCGAATGCAGATCTAACAGTTTATGTTTTAATATTTGATTTGATAGGATGCTTATTTTGTACAGCTGCTACACTGTAAGCATAGGAGTACGCCCTGCCTTAGGAAACATAGAGCTCAGAGGGGGAGTGATCACCTGTGTGTATGAAGGGCGCAAGAGAAGTCTGCCCCCCAGACTCTGGATGGTACCCTCTCAGGTGCCTTCCCACCTGGCCCTCGGACCAGGTGGTCTGTGGTCTGAAGTCACATTCCCGAGCCGGTGTAGGTGAGTGGTAGAGGAAAAGGAAGCAGAGATACACAGGGCTTTCCAGGGTGGACACCTGAGAACCATGGGGAGGGTGCAGACTGGAGTGTGGTCCACAGCCTGGCGTCTGAGAAGTGGGCGGGACTTGTCTGGGTGTGAGCAGAGGAGGGACAGATGGTGTCTCCCCTGGTAATCAGAAGGGCTGGTACTGCTATTAACTGGCTGCCCCAGAGAGAGCAGAGGGGAGTTAACAAAGCAGGTACCAAGGAATCGTGACTGGGCCTGGCTGTGGTGGAGGTTTTTATCCTCCTAGGATCCCTCTTCCTCCAGAGTATGGAGCCCTTCCTGCACTTAGCCCTCCTCGGGGAGGAGTGAGCAGGTTCACACAGTGCTTGGGGCCCTGGTCGGGAGGCTGGCACTCTTGGCCTCCTGCGTCTCTGTAGCCGGGTGAGTGGAGGGCAGGGGTCTGGCTTGGGGGAGCTGTCTGTCCGTCCATCTGTCCGTTAATGTGGATGGGAAAGTGAAGCAATGGGTTGGGTCTGTCTTTTCCTGAGTATGTGCTGTGACAAAGGAAGTTGCAACATGTTTTTCTTTTTTTTAATAGAGTAAGATAGGAGGGTAAAAACAACATTTTCCAGTAACTTCAAAAAAGGACTTGTTTTTGATGTGGTTATCGCCCTGCTCCCACAGCGCCCTTTATTGTATTTCTTATGCCTTTCTTCCTCACTGTACCTGCCAGGCTGCCTCTCAGACTGGGTCTGGGCAGCAGGCGGGCTGTGGCCCCTGAGGGAAAGGAGCTGAGTTCGCCTGGGAGAACCACAGAGGCACCTGGCCTAGGGTCCCTGGGTGGGCAGGGGAAGCTGGTTGCCTGTCCTTTGAGGCTGGAGCTGTCTGAATAGGACAGGTGGTTCCTGCTGCCCACCTGGCGTCTCTGCTGCCACACTCTGGGCCGTGTGTACTTAGTGTCCCAGAAGGCTGAGGCAGACACGCTTTGTGTTTACCTTCGATCTGTGCCTCAGCAACACTGGAGAAAGGACCCAGGATGTGCGTGGGAGGCAGAAGCCAAGCCTGGGCGAGCACATGTTCATCTGGAGGCCTTGGTGGTTTGATTTTGGCCTCTGTGGGAGCTGGGCAAGAATCCAGTTGTGTTTGGAAATGTAGAGATGATAGATTTTCCTGATGAAAACTTTTGAAGTCTGAAGAGTAGTGGGACTTTCTCCTTCCTACCTCTCTTTACCCTCTCTCCCTCTTTTGTTTTGGTGTGATTCATTTCCTTTCCCCTGCCTTGGCTACATTAAGATAGCCCCAGAGTTCCAGTACAGTCCTTAGCCGAGGAAGTGGTGCTGTGGGTCATCATCCCTGCCCTAGGATGCAGCCATCAGCAAGCCTGTGTTGTGCTGCTGCTGATTATTTTCCTGGCAGAAGAAGGTAAAGTCCTAAGAGTAAGTTTTGTTTGAGTGCTTTGTTCTAGGTACTGCTGCATCATTTTCAAGGGACACAGAACTCCTGTCTTCCATTTTCTTTGAAGGCGATCTCTGTTCTGTGTGCTCAGAGAGCATGGTGGTGGATGGCCCAGGGCCTGAACTGGCTTGTTTCCTGCTTCCCACAGTGGCTACATCACCCTTTTCCACAGGAAGCTGCCCTGGCCAATCTGGTAGCCAGTAGCCACATATGCCTATTTAAATTACCGTTAACATTAAATCACATCGAAAACCATTCCTGATAGCAGCCATGTCAGTGCTCCGTAGCCAGATGGAGCACAGAACTACTCTCACCTGAGGACCCTGAGGTAGCCATCCTGCTCCCAGGTGAGGTTACTCCTGAGCTGGAAGGGAACCTGGCAGACAGGAGAGGTTCTGAGGCCCCCATGAGAGTGCAGAAGGCCACCATTCACCTTGTTCAGGACTTCATCCCAAAACGGGCTGTTCTCTGGTGGGGGCCCCAGCTTGGGCTGCTGCTCTGTGGTGGGGTACGCGTCAAGGGCTGGTTCCCTGGCAGCACTCTGGTTTCTCTGCCTCTGGACTCTGCAGAGCTGGTGCTCAGGAGTGAGTGTTTCATGTGCTCCCCAGTGGCAGTTACCTGGACTTGGCAGCCACCCCCTAACCTGAGCTCAGATTCCTGTAGTGATGGGGAGCTAACTCCTTGCCATTAAGAAAGCCCATGTGGGTACAGTTCTACATTCACTGAATCAGAACCTGCTTCCTGACCTTGTAAAATCCTCCTGTGCACCTGGCCTTTCCCAGAGCCTTACAGACTGTGTTTCCTCCCCTGCCCCTGCCCCTGCCCCTGGGAATCAGGGCACATCTGCTTTATCCACCAAGTCCGCTAGGGAGATGCAGAGACCGGGCATCGCTCCTGCCACCCTTCCAGCAGCCGGCCTTGCTGAGAGCCTGAGGAAAGGAGTGAGTCCCAGGGAGAGTCCCAAGCACTGTCCAGCTGGGGTGGGCGAGGTGTCCCCTTCACTCTGCATCCTGTTCCCACTGGCAGGCATCATTACCACAGGCTCTTCAGGAGCATGCACCTGGCTTTCTGCAGGACCTCGAGGGATTCAGCTGTCCACACCCGTTCGCATAATAGATACGATCACAGATATCGTTTCTGTCCAGGAGGGCTTGGATCTCCTCTGGCATCTCCTCTGACCTCTGCAGAGCACGGACTCCTCATCATGGTGCGTGAGATGCTGGGCTTGACCTTCCTGTCTGCCCCGCCCTTCCAGGAGCTCATCCTCCTTCCCACCCCGCTCTGCATGCCGATGCTTGTCTCTTCTTGGTCCTTCATGTTTCCATCCTTCTGTCTCCTTTCTGGTAAAATTGTGTCATGCTTTGAGGCTCAGGTAAGACTGCCTGCCCATGACTCCAGTTCCAGGCAGAGCCAGCTGTACTAGATGTGCCTGGGGCAGCTGTACTGTCCGAGTGGCTGCTGTGAATTTGAGTGACAGTCACCACCGTGTGTCCTCCCTTGCTAGACTGGGCTCCTCAAGGTCAAGTACTGTGCCGCGTGGGCTTGGTGTCTCCAGGTGTGACACAGTGCTCGGCACTTCCTACGGTGCAGTGCACACTACACAAGTGTATCCAGTTTTGGATTCTGACAAAGCTGCCTGGACCTGAAGCCCTTTCCAGGCACCAGTGTTCTCACCCTACGTGGCCTGCAGCTGATGAGCTCCAGTGAGAAAAGTGCTGCTTAGCAGCTGATAATGAACAAGCAGGGATGAGGCTTTGGCTGTTTCAGAGGCAAAACCGGTATTTAAACAATACACTTTTTTAAATCAAGCATTAAAAGTGTCAGCTTCAGAAGCAGCTGCTTCCAAACAACTCCGCCCAGTTATAGGAGATAATTGGAATAGTGAGTGAGCTAGGCCCAAGAAGAGCCAGCAGGAGGGGGCTGGATAGGGCATTGGAAGCCTGAGGGCACCTTAACCGCTTCCTTGTTGCTCTAGGATACCGAGCTGGGGCTGCCGGTATGGGCGGGGCTTCCTTAGAAAGGCCTTTAGTGGCCTCTTCACTCCCAGCATCCTCTCCGAATCATTTGCCAAGTGAGAGAAAAGAGAAATTGGGAAATACAGGGTAGGAATAAACTGTGGCCTTTATCCTAAGGTGATGAAGTGCACACCTTTAAAAGTACTTAATTTATATTTTCAATAGGGACCCCTCAGCACTGCCTGATGGATGACACCTCATCTGTTTCCTTCTGGTGCTCCTGAGGAAGGAAGGGGGCAGGCTAACATGAGGGCCGGCCCCTCCCTTCTAGGTCAGAACCACAGCAGGAGGGGTTCCCCAGTCTCTTGATGATACCCAGATACTAACCACAGCCGCAGGCTCCCCTGGGAACAGCGGTGCAGGGGGCAGAGCTTCCTGTGCAGGGGGTGGAGCTCTGGGGCCCTGTGCCCTGGGTGTGGGACACACCTGCGTCTGTCCTCGGCGTGGGTGGAGTCCAGAGGGAGACCTGCTCTCATATCTGCTCCGTTAGGAGTGAAGCACAAAGCCCACCCCAGGAAGTCAAAGAGGCCCCCCCGGGCAGGGTCTCTTCCACAAGTTCATCCCAAGCTGCAGGGGCTGTATTTTTCCATCCCAAAGCCAGAGTTTGTCTGACAATTTTTCTTCAGCAGGAAGGGGTACTTCTTTCAAATCCAGAGGAAGGTTTGAACTCTCCGGTTGGATATGAGGTTTGTGTTTGTGAGTTTTGAACGCTGTGCTCTGCCTGAGTGCCTCTCCTCATCGTTTCCTGTGCATCATTATCATTATCTGGCCCAGGGTGGAGGGGAGTTGGGGGGAAGCGTTCAGGCCCCTGGTTAGTCTGGCTTCATTGGCCTTCCTCTCCTTTCAGGTTTCTCTGCTGAAATTAGTGCTGTTGGCTGTGCTTCCCCAGACCTCGTGCAGTGGCTGTGGCGGGGACTTCTCACGAAGCCCGAGTGTGAACACTGAGGGCGGTCACCACTCACCTCACAGACAGCTGTAACGCAGCTGGCGAGGTCTGGGGCGGGGAGGATTTGGTAAAGGAATAAAGCCCGCTGAGGGTCCGCCTCTGCTCCTTGGTGGCTTGAGCGTGTGCATAGGTTCAGTTCTTTTTACGAACTTGAAAAGGTCCTTGTGGAAGCTTCCTCAGCCCTGGGCCTGTGGAGTGAAAATGCCATGCGTGCACTGCCGCTTCGCTGGGTGTCCATTCGTCTGCTGGTGGGTGGAAGCTGATGAAGGGAAACGTGGCAGCACGGCATTCTCATTTCTCCACATGGAGAAGAGCTGGGTGCACTGAGGAAGGAGTCACTGTCTCTCCAAGCACTGGTGCGCATCCTGAGATGCTCTGTGCTGCCATGATTGGGAACGTTCTGCAGTGCGCGTTGCCATGTTAAATCCTCTGCAAAGTTCTGCATTCATAGACTCTGTTTTAAGTGTATTTTACCTAGTGCATCTGACACAGGGAAGTCTTCTTTACATCCTACAGGATACATCTGAGAAAGGCAATAGAGTCTCCATCCTCTGGGCGACCTGTCCCGTGATTCAGACAGGAAGTCACCCAACTTGGGTCAACTTGGTTAGGGTCAGGCTTGATGAGAAGGTGTACATGTGCTGTGTGCAGGGAGGTGTGGTAGAGAAGGGCCGGCAGGTGGCTTCTATTGGAGTTGGCTTTGTCTGTATCCCTGTTGGCTTTGTGCTTCTGGAGAAGCTTTTGTCCTGGCTTGAAAACGCTGAATAGCAGCTACATCTGTCAGGCCTGCAAAGCGGCGGTTTGCAGTGTGGGGGGTGAATGAGCAGTCTGTAGACATCTAGTCCTGCTTGAGGCCCAGGCTGCACAGAGAGCCTGGGCCTTGGAGCAGGGAGGGGCTGGGATCCCGAGGCAGCTGCTTGCTAATTCTGGAAGTGGCAGGGAACAAGATTTATAGTGCCCTTATCTCCCTGTGTTCTCCTTTCCTTGGGGGAGAGTCTCTTGGCTCTCGAGGGGCAGGTAGCAAGAAGCAGGTGGTGTGGAGATTTCCTCCCCTCTACCTCGCTCGAGGTGACCTGGGGCAGAGATACTAAGCTCCCTAGTACTGGGGGAGCTGAGATAAAGGCATTTTGGTTGAAATTTAAGGAAGAGCTCAGAATTGTGAGATAGATTTACTGAAGTTGGTATACTTTTTAATATTTGAGAGTCTTGGCTAGAATTGCTTTTAGACCATTGGTGACGGAAGCGGGATATGAATGATTGGTCCCCAGATGGCCAGCTCCCTGAGGAATGCCTGGAGGGCCTCACCGGATTCTGCCTCGGAACAGACCCAGGCCAGGGGATTCCCAGGGCCTATTGCAGGCCTCGGCCCTTCTGGCATGTCTTTGCCAGGAGGCCATGGTTATTTCCAAGGACACTGGCAATGAGAACAGATGGGGGTGTGGGGTGGGAGTCAGGCACTCTTCCTGGGGACTGTCCAATTCCAGTGTTGGGAGCCCTTGGTTAATGAAGGCAGGTCCAGGATTTCCTGTCTCATGTGTACTTTATTGATTGACTTAGTGTTTTTGAAGGCAGCTTTCCTCCTCCCACGTGAGGGATGGGGCTGGTTAGGCAGTTCTTGGGGGAAAATCTGGTGAGAAGTCCTCCATCCCCAGCTCTTTGGGCCTGCTCCCTGCCTTTCTTCAGCTACAGCAAAGACTCAGTCTCAGCTAGGTAAGTAGCGAACTCAGTCCGGGGGCGGGGTCACCCTGTGCTAGAGGAAAGAGACAGATGCTGCTCCCCAGGCTCCTGGTGGCCCGGAAGTCTGGGTGGGCCAATTTTGGTTTGAGAAGCAGCAGGGTTAGCCACTGCCACCGGCTGGGGTTGTGTTCACAGACTCCTGGGCCCCAGCCTTTCTGGAGGGGCCAGCAGCTCTGCCCCCTAGAACTTGCTGTGGCTCCCGGGAGCCTTGCAAGGAACCTCGGATTCAATTGAGGTGAGGTTTGTGCCCATGGGTAGAAGGTGGGTGACTCTTCCTTCCTCTTGCAGTTGGTGGGGGGCTGTATCAGTTCTGCAGCAAGACCCTCAGGCCTCTTTTAGACAAACCGGCCATGATGGAAATTCTTTCTTACCCCTTGCTGGGACTTGACTTATTCCAACATCTTCAGTTTTTTTCAGGCCATGGCATTGGCTGGACGATAAGACTTTGACCTGCTGTGCCCCAAGACTAGAAGGCAGGGTGGTGTCCAAGCCCCATCCCATGTCTCTCTCACCTGCCCTTCCTTCCTCCTTCCATTCAGCCCAGTGGACCTTGTTGGTTCCAGTGTGTGGTAGGCTTGTGACTGGGGTGTGGGGCTTTACTCTTATGTTCCTTTTCCTCACAGGTTCTAGCCTTACTGGGCCTCCATTTACTGTCTGACCCTACTTGCAGCTGTGACACACCTGGATCTCAAAGCGTGTCCTGTTGTTTTTCTTATGTGACGGAGATCCCAGATGTTCTCTAGGTGACTGGCCATAGCTATCCCAGGTGCAGAATGGGACTTCCTAGTGCCCAGATGCTCCAGAAACTTCCTCCAGGGCCCCATTTTGGAGTGCTCACCTCTGAGCAGTCTGCCCACCCTCCCCTCCTTCCCAAGGAGAATGGTGGGAGGAAGTCCTGCCGGAGGTTGTTTTGGGTTATGAGGTAATGGTCTTTGGCTTGAGAGACATATGCATCCTTCTTTAAGGTGGCCAGTAGTTCTAGATCCTTGGGTTTCCCTGGAAACCAGAGTGGCTGAGACTGAGAAGGAAGGGGCTGGTTGAGAGCACTGAGATCTGGGAGGGATTCCTTGGGTCTGTTGTGCTTTTCCAGGGAATCCATAGCATCTTCTTGGATAGCATAGGAGGTAGATAGTACAGAGGAGGAGGCCGAGTGTGTAGGTGCTCAGCGATGTTAAGTGCAGAATTCGTCTAGGACCGGCGCTCTGCTTCGCTTGGTAAACTCCAGCATATGTGCCTTTGAGGCTTAGGGCCATCAAGTGGACAGACCGTACCGTAGTAGGTTGTCAGTCTTGTGTGCAGTCAGGTTTAAATGAGCAGTGTCACTGGGGCAGGGAGGGAGGTAGAGTAGGTGATCTCAAAATTACTGAAATCGAACTTTCAAAATATTAGTGAATTCTTTCTTTACCACTTTTATATCTACTCTACCAAACAGGTCTGTCTCCTTAATTCTGTTGGATTTTCATAGTGTTACGGATCCCAGAAACCCGCTGGGTGGGTGTGGGGATAGAG